CTGGGTCCCAGTCTGCTTCCAGGTCCAATTCAAAGTGTTGGTTATTACCCTTAAAGCTCTACATGGCATGGGTCCAGGTTACCTGAGGGACCGTCTTACCCCCATCACATCAACCCGTCCACCTGGTCAGGCAGAGAGGGCATGTTCCAGGTCCCGTCAGTGACAGAATGTCAACTGGTGGGGCCCAGGAGGAGAGCCTTCTCTGCCGTTGCTTCTGCCCTTTGGAATATTCTCCCCCCAGAGGTACGGCAAGCCCCTACCCTACTGGCATTCTCTGCCAGCTTGCATGGGGGGATAACAACTCTACCCAATCCTGGGGGTGGCTAGCACCTTGATGATGCTCCCTAAGTGATCGCCAATTATTTCGGATCTTTTTATTTTGTATTTATTATTGTAATATTGTAATTTTAATTGATTTTAATTGTTTGTAAACAGCCCAGAGTTGTTTAACAAGATGGGTAGTGACAAATTTGACAAATAAATAAATAAATAAATAAATAAATAAATAAATAAGCATCTTATTACTTTTTAAAAAATCAGGATATTTACTCATAGGCATTCTATTACAGGTAGTCCTCGGGTTACAATGGGAATGGGAATGGGAATGGAATTTCCATCACTAAGTTATGCGGTCATAAAGCACAATGTCATGTGACTGCATCATTTAGTGACGATAATCCCAGCAGTCTCAGTTGCCGTTGTAACCCAGAGACTGCACTGGTAGTTAAGAGAGGACCTCATGAGTCCTAGACAAGCAGGCCAGCAGGTGAGAGCTGCAGGTGGGCGGATGAGTGCTATAGGTGGGTGCTACTAAGCCCAGGTGGGTCACTGGGGGCCACGGGCAGGCGCTACAGAACATGGGCATGTGGGGGGGGGAAGAGTGGGTTCCTTGGAAGAAAAAGCAGTGAGAGTGACTTACAGCAGTGACTTGCAACCTTCCCTGCAGGCTTCCCCATCAACTTTGCTGTGGGAAGCCGACAGGAAAGGCACAAATGACTGTAGCTCACTGTGACATCATAATCGTGAGCTGGACACCTGAGCATCCGGATCATGATCACATGACCACGGGGATTCTGCAATGGTCACAACTTTGCAAACCAGTCATAAATCCCCTTGTTCAGCACTGCTGTAACTTTGAACAGTTGCTGAATGAGTGGTCGTAACCCGAGGACTACCTGTACTGCATACATTTTGTTCATTAACCTTTAAAAAAGTAGTTATTATTATTGTTGTTGGGCACAGTCAGCCAGATGTTTAGTCTGGATTTGGCATTTTTATCCACATATTGAGTCCTTCCCAAGGACCTGGAATAGGCAGATGTTGTTGTTTGATGGTGTTAAAGGTATTGTTGCAAGATGGAAGCTGTTCCAAGTAAAGCTGCCTTTTGTAATTGACTGATGGTGATTTTGTCAATGCCAATGGTGTTCAAGTGGTGCTCCAGATGGATTTGCACCAAAAGCTGCCATTACTATTGGTACTATCTTTGCTTTCTTTTGCCTTAGTTGTTCTACTTCTATTTGCAGGTCTTTGTATTTTGTGATTTTCTCCAGTTCTTTCTCT